GCTGCTCCCAGGCCACCGGAGGAGGGCCCCACATGGCGCGCAGACCTCTCCTGCTGCCTGCTGCTCCCCTCAGCAGTGTACTTCGGTCCTTCTGCCTGCTCTGCTCCCCGCTCTGGCTCTGGTGAATTCTCTCTCACCCTCCCGCGCTTCTGACTGTACCCAGTGCTTGTATAAATAAATAAATAAATCTTAAAAAAAAAAACTTAAAAAAAATCCTTTAAAAAAATAAAAAAAGGGTATTCAAAAGCACATGAGACATGCTATATTCCACACTAACACATAGTTATACTACCTTCCTTCACTCATACAGAACCATTTACTTAGCACTTACACTAAAACCCTAGTCCATCATTAAGGATTTCCAGTGAACAGAATATGTTATGTTCTTGTTTTCTTTCCAATCAAAAGTCTGGTGAACAAACACAGAAGCAAACAAAATAATTCACCAAGTGATAGATTCTATGAGTTAGATAAAATAAGATAAATGTGAATAAGGGATTCAAGCAACCATCATATAGTCTAAGACTGAATATTGGGAAAGAATCAGATGTTTCACTCATTTGTGGAATATAAAGAACAAAACAATGAGACACAAAACTAAACCAAACAAACCCTGAAAAACTTGCTACAGATTAAGGTTATCTGAGGGGTGGGGTGTGTGGAAAATAGGGAGCAAAGGGAGAATTTGGCCTAATGGACAATGATGGAGGGACATTGGTGATTTGGTGGTGGGTGTGGTGTGACAAAATACTTCTGAAGAGGTATGAACCCCTAAGTCATATGCCATTTTACAAAACAACATTATCACAATAAAGCATAACAAAATTAAAAAAATGAATCAATTATGTGAAAAGTATTTAAAGTAGTAAGGAAACTGAGAACATTTAGAAAGAAATTAACAAGTGTGTGTCCTGGTGCAATAGAAAGCCAGTGTGCTGCAATGTGGGGGAATGCTGATTAGGAAAGATGCGCAAAACCAACTCTTGTGGTGCTATGGAAGGCAAAGTGAGTAATATTTTTTCCAGATAATTTAAGAGACTATAGAATACATTTAAGCAGGAGATAAGAATGGCACAATTTATGATTTAAATTTGTGGATATTATGATTCACTTCCTATCAATTGTAAACACATTTTATGATTACTGAATATAAGCAATTTGCTCACTGACTATAAATAGTAGAATTTGATGGAAATTGATCATAGCAAGATATTTTGGGGAGAGGCAAAAGTGAAATTGGAGACAAGTGAGAGATGATGGGAAATTGACTTGGGCTCATCTTAATCAATAAAAATAGAAGTAGACAAATTTGGGGTCGATTTTAGAGGTTAAATCTGCAGGGTTTATGTATGAATAGGATGTGGTAAGAGAAAATTAAGATAGCTCCTTAGTTTCACATGCCCAGTGTTATCATTTAGAGAGATAATAAGATGGGGTGTGGGCAAAATAGGAATAGCTTTGATAGGGGGTGGGTAGAATTGACAGACTTAACTGTGAAAACATGTATTTCACAGTTACCGTGTTTTCACATTCAGTGTTAAAAATTCTTAAAGAAATAGTATATAAAGAACTTATCAGTTCAGAATATAAGATTTCTATAACTTGTAGCACAATGAGGAAACATTTAATTTCATGTCACTATCTCTATTGATAAACACAGTTCTCTCTGCCATGATAACTCTTTCAAATTTAGCTGAAATGTCATTTTGTCTCTAACACCTTGTAAATCTATATTTTTCAATGTCAATGCAATCGTTTTATTATCTACATTGCTGAAAATACTGCATGTATAACTACCTCTATTATACTTGATTACATGCAATATTATTATGTATCATTCTCCAAAATGGACTGCTGCTCACAGTCCTTTTATAAAACATATAATTTATGTTTACACATTTATATACCAGTTTTTTCAATGATGTTCTTGACCTGACTACATCAGCATAAAATGGAATTGTTGATAAAATAAAAATTTCTGAATCTTATCTCAATCTTAATGAAACTAAATATGTTAGTATCAGGTTTATAAATCACTTTACAACAGTTTTCCAAGATGATTTAGTTCCACTGATGTGTGAGGACCTCTGCACTGACTGCTAAACTCTCAGGCTACCAGAACAAGGGCTTATTTTTATCACCAGTGTTTGGCACTGTCTCACCTAAAGTATATATTTTCACAAATTTCTTTTATTATAAATTATTAAATTTGACTGCTAACCCCAAATTTCTATTTCAAGGCATCTGGCTATCATACAGGGCAGCAAGGGGCACTAAATGATGCTCACTTCGCTAAGAACGCTTACTACCCGAATAATTTACTGGTCACTGTCTGAGTTCTTCACCCCCATGCACAATTGCAAGACTACTCAAGCTCAGGAAACAGCAACAACAATGGGATTTATTTAAAAAGCCAGGGAAAAACAAAGAGTTACTGAGGACAAAAATGGTCATTTATCTCACCCGAAGCAATGTCCAGTGTTTTCCAGTCCTAAACAAAAGCAGCTAAGATGGTGTCTCCTGCCACAGAGGACTTGGTGCCCCTCTCCCGAACAATAGGCCACATGCCCAGGATGGCATCTTCTTGCCTCTGTGGACCTGCAGCACAGAGCAGCCAGACTCTACGCTAGGTTCTAACTCACAAAGACAACAGAAGGCACAACAGGAAATGCTCCTGGAGCTGCCAAGATGCCCCAGCACAGCACCAAACAATTGACTCTCAAAACAGCAGGTGGCTGAAGGGCCCAACAAAAGGCCACACTCGCAAGGCACCCAGCTCCAGGTCTTTGACTTCCTTGCCAGGTTGAAACAGCAGCAAAACCAGGAACAGATTCAGTCTCTCAGTAACTTGCAAAGCCTCTGAACTTCTCTTGTTTGAGATTTGCTGCTGGAGGCCTCCACCTTCATAGGACCACAATAGCCTTCTGGAAGACTGGCTTGGTAGGGACCGAAACACTGACCCCAAATGTTGAATCTGAAACACTGACTCCCAAAGAACAAAGACCCAATAATCTGCAGATGTTTCTTTTTTTTTTTTTTTTGGATTGATTGATTGATTTGATTGATTGATTTATACAAGCACTGGGTACAGTCAGAAGCACGGGAGGGTGAGAGAATTCACCAGAGCCAGAGTAGGGAACAGAACAGGCAGAATGACGAAATACACTGCTGAGGGGAGTAGCCCTGCGCTCAACCACTGCGCCACCAGGGGAGGCCCAATCTGCAGATGTTTCTGCAGTCATTTATATTTCTTATCAGTTGTTCCACCCCAAAATGTGATACATTTTAGTATTTTCCCTAGGGCTTTCTATCCTCACCAGCAACCCCTCTCTACCCACCACCACCACATGTAACAGTCTATGGCTTCAGCAACCGTTTACAGTTACTTGTTTTTAAGATTTATGCTAAAAAAACAAAAAGATTTATGCTAGTAACAAACTCCTCATTGCATGCAATGCATATGAATTTGTTTCTAATTCATATACAATGACTTAAACACTTCCTTTGAGTGCCTCATAAAGAAGCAAATAGCATTTTTGATGTGTGATTTTGATGTGGGAAAAGGTACCTCATTATAGAGCAAAACAAAAGACAAAAACAAAATTATCACAAAATGCACTTTTTTTTTTCACTTAAAAAAACTTTTATATTTGGCATATTCTCAACATAAATGCATATGGAAAGGACCTGTGCTAAGCCTAATCCTAGAACTTTGGGTAAAATAAATGTATAAATTGTGTATATATATATATATTAATTTATTTATACAAGCACTGGGTACAGTCAGAAGTGTGGGAGGGTGAGATAATTCACCAGAGCCAAAGCAGAGAGCAGAACACAGCAGGCAGACTGACGAAGTACACTGCTGAGGGGAGCAGCGGGCGGCAGGAGAGGTCTGCATGCTATGTGGGACCCTAGTCCAGGCTGCACACAGCTTGGCAACACAGCCCTCAACTGCTGCGCCACTGGGGAGCCCCTAAATCGTATATATTGTACACATCACGAGTAATTAAATTTCTGACTCAAATACAGTCTTCAAAAAAAGACAAATATTCTCCTTTGACAAATGGTCCTTTAAATGAACAGTTCCTAAAGTCAAGGAATATGACTGTGTGTCCACCCAAACCTAGGGCTCAGTGCAGTGCCTATATGCTCAACATATGTGTACTGAATTATACTGATTCATAAGTCCTATCCTGCTACTTCATATGAGATTCAGATTTAGAAAATCTACTTTATAGAGATTATTTTGAGATTATCACTTTATAGTGATAATTTTATTTTTGTCTTTTCTTTTGCTCTATAAAGTAGGAAATCTACTTTAGCAGATAAGATTAGATAATCAAGTATAATAAAACTACTGATTTTAGTAATGTCAAAATTCTCCATACACACTCAGTAGAAAGAATATGAGCATTTACTATGCCTAGAGAGTTACCCAATAGAAAACTTTGCAATTTTGCCTAGAGAACAGTTAAAACTGCCTAGAGAGCAAAAAACAAGCAAACACAAAAACAACCTGAAAGCAAGATCTTAATATCAACAGATTTAGCATCAGGTTTAGAATACAGATTGAGTCACCACAGCTACATGCAGCATTCTCAACCTAAGACAGTCATTTAACAAATGGCGATATTTGAACCAAGTGGAAACACATGCAAAATCTACTACAAAATACACTGTTTGCTGAGAGTATAATGAAATTCAGTATGTATTTACATGGATTGTTCAAAAATATACACTATATCCTGAACTATGTTTAAAAAATATTATTCCATGATATATTGTTACAGAGAATATCTAAAACTATAACTCATGCTTTTGAGAAGAATAATAAATATACTTTGTTTTCTGGATTAGAAAATTATCTAGGAAAGTTAGTTAAAATGAATCTGTTTAAATTAGAAACCACAGGACTAGTTCTCAGATTCCTAGTAAACACTAAACATAAAATACTAAATAAGGCCTTTCTAGGCATTCATATGGTACTGTGACCTTACCCATATTGTAACCACTCTTATCCATCTTTTTCTGTGTTGTGGTGTTTGATGATGTGTCCTTGGCATTCAGCATAACACCCAAGCCAACTGAATTATCAGCAGATGGACTTATGCTTTGATCTGGGATCCATTCTCTGTCTCCTGAAAATAAAAAAAAAGGGAAAAATAATATAAATTTTAGTAAGAAATCCATGTTGTTGATTATATTTATTGTCTTACTAGATAATTTTTAGCTAAATAAAGAAAATTTGTTATAGTGAGGTAGATATTATTAAAGATAAAATATTTCATAATAGTCACACACAAGTTAAAATCACACAATAAATTAAATTGATATAACTTAATAAAAATATAGCTAAGTCACAAATATACACACATTTAAATGAACTATTTTAAAGCATGCAGTTATATAACATGAAGTACAATTTTTGTATGTAAATAAACATATTTGAATACACAAGAACCTAAAGATATGATAAAAAGAGCTACCAGTTGATGTGTCTATTGAAGTCTCACAGATGTTGAGATTCTGAGATTGTCTTTTAAGATGGCATTTAAGAATTATCACATAATGCATAACAGTGAAGTTAATATATTTTCACTTTCTAACTTATTAAAAGCCACACTTATAAATTCTGAAACCCTGTCTGATTTGAGTCCTGTTTTCTCATATTCTAAAATTACTTTTTTTAGTCTTTTTAAAAATTTATTTATTTTTTTAAGAACCAGGGTATAGGCTAGATGCATAGGAGGGTGAGCAGATTCACTGGGGACAGAGCGGGGAACAGAACAAACAGACTGATGAAATACACTGCTGAGGGGAGCAGTGAGTGCAACAGGAGAGGTCTGCCTCGCCATGTGGGATTCTCACCGGCCGCCTGGGATCAAACCCGTGCTGCAGAGGCTGAGGACAGCTTCACGTTTTGGTGCTCAACCGCCTGCACCACCAGGGAGGCCCCAAGTCTTTTTTTTATTTTTTAAGATTTATTTATTTATATAAGAACTGGGGTACAGGCCAGAAGCACCAGACGGTGAGAGGATTCACCAAAGACAGAGTGGGGAGGAGAACAGGGGGAGCAGCAGGTGAGACAGAAGAGGTCTGCCACTTCATGTGAATAGCTCCCTGGCTGGCTGGGAATCAAACCCATGCTGCAGAGGCTGAGGACAGCTTTGCAGTGCTGCGCTCAACCCACTGGGCCACCAGGGAGGCCTGTTTTCTCATATTCTAATAGTAGCCTAAATATAAATATATGGCAAGTAACACAATATCAATTGTGACTAGAGAAGATTTTTTTAAATATTTGAACAGAATTATTCTATATTTCATAAAATATGAATGCACAGTTTTAAAAAATAGTGTCAAAAATTGTCAGACTGATCCATAAACCATCTGATTCCGTGTCTGAACTTACCTGCAATTGTAATTGTAGTACTTGAATAATTGCATTCTAAACTATGAGAAGAAAGTGAGTTGAGTCTTTCATTTTTATCAAAAACAAAGAATCTTTCAAGTCCTTGGTATTGTTCATTTATAGGCTTACTTCTGAGGGCTATTTCAGGTAACAGCTAGGAAAAAATCAAAGTATTATTTTATCTCATAAGTATAGAGAAACGCATTCATTCATTAAGCGCTTACTATGTTCTTGGTACAGATTCTATGCTCATCAAGACTAGGTTCTATGTGTGAAAACAAATAATAACACAACTTTTATACATTTTAATCTCTGAAAAGTGTTTAAACCACAATTAGAGTTATTATTTAAAAGTTGTCATCAATCTAAAAAAGAAGAAGATAGTTCATGAAACAAAATTACCCTGTTCCTTGTTCTCCCTTTATTTCCTTCCTTACACATAAACTACTCTGGGAAATAGAATCTCTCTCATATTCTGTACTTTGGAACTAGTGACTTTGTCTATACAAAAAAATAATTTCAAAGATGAATGCAAAATACTGATGGGGATAAAATTAATCTAATCATCACTACATACAAAATCAAGTTAATAAAATACTGACATTTTAAGTGTACAAGTACGAACCTAAGGCAACAGTGAGCTAAGTAATTTGTGAAAATTATACACAAGAAACAAGAAGTCCTAAGATTTGAATATAGTTCTGGCTGATTTGAACCATAGGCTTATTCCCCCACAATATAAATTGTTAAATTTTATATACTCTCACCCTGTGGAAGAATCAAAATGAGATTTAAAAATTCATAAATCTAGTAGGAAAAAGACTAAAACTTAGGAAGTATTCTTGATGGACTAAAAATATAAACAGACTGGTTATCAGTATTTAAGTGTTCCCCCAAAAGATTCTCATTAAAGTGCATATGTAGACTATTTCAATGGAGTAAACAACACAAAGATATTTATATAACCTATATAAAAATTTATAAATCAGGTGACTCAGCAAGACGGGACTAGGATTATCATTTCCAAACAGGGACCATTCTTCAGTAAAGACTGCTTGAAACTGGCAGAAGACACCGGGAGGAGCCAGAGGTGAGCTGGGAAGTTCGCCCACACCAAGCCCCTTCTGGCCAGCAGTCCGAGCCCAGAGGGGAGCGGGCACCCACCACCTGGGCAGACCGGGCACGCAGCAGAGTGTGTCACCGCATCGCCACTTTAGAACAGGGACCTTTCTTCAATAAAGACTGCTTGAAACTAGCAGAAGGCTCCCTGTGGACCCAGAGGGAAAAGGTTCCCTGTGTAGTCAGAGGTGAGCAGAAGGCCCCCACATGCCTGGTCCCACCTGGTAGGAAGTTGGAAACCAGAGAGGGATCCAGTGATTTGGAACCCAGAGTACAATTCAGCTGCCCACCTCCAGGGAAGTTTGTGGGACTTCAAGACACACCTCTGTAATTAAACACAGAAGGAAGAAATATTCTGTGACAGCGACAATTAACATATTCAAAGTACCACTGCCTCACTAGACTTCTGGCATAACAGTATTTGACTCGTTTAGACCACCAGTTGCCAACCCCCACAAAGAGCACACCAAAGAGATGCTGGCCAGTAACAGCAACACAGTGTCCCAAGGCATATGGCAAATTAGAAAACAGGCAGTAGGGAGTAGAAAAATTACATGCAACCGAGCAAATCCTCAGGAAAAAGGCACACCACAAATAGAAAAACTCCCACCAGATTGCAACGACAGTAACTTGGAAGAACTTCTGAGCCTTCCAGAAAGAGAATTTAAAATTGTCATGATAAAAAAACTAACAGAAGTCATGAAGGAAAACAATGATAAGGGAAAAATAATCAACGATCAGAAGAATGAAATTGAGTCCCTAAAGAGGGAAGTAAAAGAAATGCAGAAGATCAAAGAATTAATGGAGGCGCTAAAGAACTCTGGGAAAAGCAATGAAAGCAGAATAGATGAAATGGAAGAACGAATAAGTACTCTTGAAGACACAGAAATAAAAAGAACCAAAGCAGAAAAGGAAAGAAGAAGTACGAAGAAAAAAGATCTAAGAAAGACTTCGGGAACTATCTGACACCATGAGGAAAGGAAATATAAGAGTTACAGGAATCCCAGAAGGAGAGGAGAGAGATGTAGGAACAGAGAAAATATTCAAGGAAATAATTGAAGAGAACTTCCCAAACATGAAGAAGGAGCTGAAAAATGATATACAAGAAGCAAGAAGAACACAAAACTTCCATGACGAAAGAAAAAACACAGCAAGACACATAATAGTAAAGCTCCCAAGAATCCAAGACAAGGGAAAAATAACAAAGCTGACAAGAGGGAAGAAGCAGATAACATTCAAAGGAAAACCAATCAGACTGACATCAGACTTCTCCGAAGAAACAAAATGGGCAAGGAGAGAGTGGAGGGACATAGTCAGCAGACTCCAAGAAAACAGATGCCAACCAAGAATACTCTATCCTGCAAAGCTCTCCTTCCTCTATGAAGAAAGAATAAGGACCTTCCCAGACAAACAGAAACTCTGGAATTTCATTACAACTAAACCCCAACTCCAAAAAATACTACAAGGAGTCCTAAAGTCAGAAACTCAGAGGGACAAATAACAACAAAAGAAGGCCAAAAAAATAGTTATTAAAAGAATAAATAAAATCAAAGGAAAGACAAATACAATGGCAAATACAGATGCCAACATATTAATATTAACTATAAATGTAAATGGACTAAACTCTTTAATAAAAAGACACAGAGTCGCAGGCTGGATTAAGAAACAAAACCCAACCTTTTGCTGTGTCCAGGAAACACATTTAGCTACAAAACATAAAAATAAACTCAAAGTTAAAGGATGGAAAACAATCCTAAAAGCAAATAGACCAAAAAAGAAAGCAGGAACAGCTATACTTATATCAGATAAAACAGATTTCAAACTCAAAAAGTTAAAAAGAGACCCCAACGGTCACTACATTATAATCAAGGGGACAATACTTCAAGAAGAAATAACATTCATTAACATATATTCACCAAACGAAGGAGCACCAAAATATATCAGACAACTATTGTCATCTTTGAAAACAGACATCAGAGAAAACACATATGTAGTGGGAGACTTCAACACACCACTATCAACAATGGATAGATCAATGAGACAAAAAATAAGTAAAGACACTAAAGCTCTAAATAAGGATCTAGAGCACTTGGGCTTAACAGGCATCGATAGAACACTAAACCCAAAGAAATCTGAGTACACATTTTTCTCAAGCACACACGGATCATTCTCCAGGATCGATCAGATACTGGGACACAAGACAAAACAACAAACACACCAAGATTGAAATCATACCAACCATCTTTTCTGACCATGAAGGCATCAAACTAGAAATAAACCATAAAAAGAAGGCAAGGAACTCTCCTGCCTCATGGAGATTGAAAACCACAATTCTGGAAGACCACTGGACTAACGAGGAGATCAAAGAAGAAATTTAAAAATTCTTTGAATTGAGAGACAAGGAGGACACCAATTTCCTAAATGTATGGAATGCAGCAAAAGCAGTAATAAGAGGGAAATATATAGCAATAGAGGCTCACATCAAGAAACAAGAAAGAACTCAAAGAAACAACCTAATCTTGAAGCTCAAAGATCTAGAAAAAGAACAACAACAACAAAAAAACCCAAAACCAGTAGAAGAAAAGAAATAATAAAAATCAAAGCAGAAATAAATGAAATTGAAACTAAAAAAACAATCCAAAAGATCAATGAAACCAAGAGCCGATTTATGGTCAACTAATCTTTGACAAAGGAGCAAAGTATATGCATTGGAGCAAAGAAAGTCTGTTCAATAAATGGTGCCGGGAAAACTGGGTCGCTACATGCAAAAAAATGAAGCTTGACTACTACCTAACACCATGCACAAAAACCATCTCAAAATGGATTAAAGAACTAGACATAAGACCTGAAACCATAAAATACATAGAAGGAAATATAGGCGAACCACTGCATGATATGCACATTAAAGACATCTTTACAGACACATCACCCAAAGCAGTGATAGTGAAGGCAAAGATCAACAGCTGGGACTACATCAAATTAAAGAGCTTCTGCACAGCATAAGAGACAATAAACAAAACAAAGAGAAACCCCACCGACTGGGAGAACATTTTTGCACACAACACTAATGATAAAGGACTGATCACAAAAATCTACAAAGAGCTGATGAGACTCAACAAAAACAAAGAAAATAATCCAGTCAAAAAATGGGCAGAAGAGCTAAAAAGAAACTTCTCTGAAAAGGAAATGCAAATGGCCAACAGGCATATGAAAAATGTTCAACATCACTTGTAATCAGGGAAATGCAAATCAAAACTACCATGAGATACCATCTTACACCAGTGAGAATGGCACATATTAAAAAATCTAGCAACAACAAATGTTGGCAAGGGTGTGGAGAAAAACGAACTCTCCTGCACTGTTGGTGGGAGTGCAAACTGGTCCAACCACTGTGAAGAGCTGTGTGGAGATTTCTTGACCTACTAAACATAGAGCTTCCATATGATCCAGCAATTCCACTCCTAGGTATTTACCCAAAGGACACAGAAACATCAATTCCAAAGAGTACCTGCACCCCTATATTTATAGCAGCACTATTTACAATAGCTAAGCTTTGGAAACAACCCAAATGCCCAAAAATAGATGACTGGATCAAGAAGATGTGGTACATATACACCATGGAATATTACTCAGCATTCAAAAAAGATAAACAGATGCCATTTGCAGCAACATGGATGGCGCTTGAAGGGATCATGCTCAGCAAAATAAGCCAGAAAGAAAAAGAAAAATACAGGATGGTCTCACTCATAGCAGGAATCTAGAAAACTTAAATAAGGGACCAGGAAAAAGAATAACTATAAGAAAGGAAATATCAAAATCGACAAACTTCTATGAACCAGAGATACTCTATGGTGGGTGGGAGGTGGGGACAGGAGGGATTGGGGTCAAAATAAGGGGGTTGTAATTGTATGGGGAATATAAAAAATAAAATTTAAATAAAAAATTATAGATCATATGAATTATGAACTGTTACCCAAAAAGCTAATTGCAAAATAAGGCATCATTATCAAAGCCAAGTCAAAGTGCACTCTACTC